CCCCACCCTGGCTCTTATTCCTCATCCAGTTCTGATTCACTTTTCCTCCTCAGGTTTAGTCACCGAGCCTTTTTCACTGATGGAGCATAGTTGCTGCAATCATTCAGAGCACACAACATGGTTGAGCTCTCAGTGTCTTTGCTTAGCACCACAATCCGTGTTGGCTACCAGGGTTGCAGAGAGTTAAATTATGTTCGGAAATGTGCACACGCTTACCTAACTGACTTCACTTCCACACAAACTTCTGTGTGAACGGGTATTTAAAAAAATTACAATTAGCCCAAGTATCAGGAGAGTAGAACATCAAAAAGTGAAGCCTTAAAACAAGCAGAACTTCCCTATGAAGTTTCAAGCCTGTGCTTTAAAACGAAGAGGCCCTTGAACCTCTCAACAGAATAGCTGCATATTTTAATCATGTGCCTGGCCAATCAGCATTTCTTTCTATAACTTGATTTTCTAAGTGTCAAACTGCTGAAGCTTTCCAAAGTTCACCCAAAACCAAACAGCCAGTGCAGAAAAAAATTCAGCCTACAGAAAAAAATTTTGCAGGAGCAACAACCAAAAAAATGCCTCGTAATGCGAACTATCGCATAATTGCAACTATGGACAAAGTTGACAGCTCTGCCCATGGTGATAAATGGTAAAAAAAAAAAAAAAAAAAAAAAAAAAAAAAAAAAAAAAAAAAAAAAAAAAAAAAAAAAAAAAAAAAAAACAAGCCAATTTTGCTTAGAGGCACAGGACAACTGAAAGCAAAAAAACCCCACGTATTCAGGAAAACAACCCTCAAAATTGAAGTATTAATACAATATTTTCTTGATGGTTTGATGCAACGAATATACCAAAGACTTTCAAGCCTGACATACTGCCCTACTAACAGGGCAATGCCTGCCAGGCCGGCAGCCTACCAGAAAAGTCTAAAAAAGAATCCCGTGTCTCCATTTTGGCCTAGATTTGGACTCCAATTTCTGTCATGAGGACAGACTGTTTTGTTTGCAGAAGCCAATTTTTTGCTAGTGACTATGTCCCTGTGCTGAGCACAACAATCCATCCATCCATCCAAAGTTGAAAAACAGGGACATTAAACCATTTGGACAGAATTGTCTTTATGGCTTTGTTTGCTGCTGAGCACTCCGACCTCTGACCCTTAGCTGCTTCAGGATTTAACATGACGGAATGCAGAAAATTGATGATTTAAGCATACTTATTTAACTCGTACACATTTCAAAAGACTGGATAGTCCCAGCTATCTTCAAATATAGCTTCAGATATATGTTACCATTAGCTCTAACTACAAAAATAATGCAGCAAACTAAAAAAGAGACATGGACCTACAACAAAATAAGTTTCCTGCGTTGCTAGTTAAACACGGCTGGTGATAGGTATTGTGCAGCACCACTACCACCTCCTGGACAAGCCCAGCACGGCTGCAGGATGCGCCAGTGTCTCTCCCAACTGTAAATTAATTTGCCTTGAAGACAGGCCGCCCCTTTATGAGCCCCAGGGCATGCACAGCTATACTGGTTGCTAGAAACCTCACCTTCCCAACAAGCTGTGCCGTTCACTACAGAGCATCACTGCTACCCCTACGCTAACTGCTGCCCCACAGCACCAGCATGGCGAGAACATCTCCAGTTACGCCAGTTTTCCCTAGTTGCTCCCCAAGTACAGTCACATCCATCAGACAGCTTCCCACTAGGAATCACAGATGGAAGCCCCAATGCTCATGGCAAGAGAGTTTGGCTTAGATAAAAGCTGATTGAGTTGCCTTTTCTTTCTGTTACTAAGTTAGGGAAACAAATTCTATGGCATTTGTGATGAAGAATTGTCTTAAATTTACATGCCTTCACTTGGCAATAGACGGCACTAAAATTCTATGTATCATATATGATAATACGTGATAGATAAATTCCAGTACCATGGTATCAATTACTTTGTAATAATGATATTACTGTGGTATAACTTTATACTCTGTAAATAATATAGCTCAATTCTACGAATACACTGTAATACCGCACTACAATGTATAAACAGCTCATAAATTGTAAGGATTTATGAAGAGCTACAGTTCTGGTAGCTACTCTGCTGCCCATGGGGAAGAGGCAGTTAGAAACATTCAGATACAGCACAAACATACCTGAACTTGCTTTGACCTCCTAATACAGAAAGAACAAAATCTTGACAACTGGATGCACATTGCTTTAAATAGTGCTACCGTGGTATTATGCAGATACCCCTCCAAGCACCCACCATTTCATGAACTGTAAAACATATTGTTTAAAAATTTTAATCTGTAAGACAGCGGGAAGAAGTCCTGCTTCTACCGTGGTTTTCCTCACTACGGTATAAAAGAGCTTCTTCTGTCAAACACAGGAAAAAAATCTGGTTTTGGGTGAAGACAAATTCAGTTTTAAGGATGCAATTAATGAGAATTTCCAATCTATGAGAGTTAAAGATCAGTGGTTTCAAGATCTGGCTTGTCTTCCTATACGTAGCAGCATGTGCTTGAACGACAGCATGTGTTAAAATAGCTTCTAAAAAGCCACTATCCCAATCTGAAGAAACCAAGAGAAAAAACCCCTCTCTTAAAGGTAATTGTACCTTCAGCTTTCAGTCAACCAGGTGTTGCAATGTTTCTATGTTTCGAGTCCGTTATGCTATTTTCCTTTCAAATTAGTTACATGTTGTAATCATGTCAGTTCCCGGTCTTCCTTTATGAGCTGAACACGCTGGACATTTCAGCCTTTCACTGAGAGAAGGGCGTTTTCTCCAGCCATAAGATAATGTTGGCGGCTCTTTTTAGAAGTCTGCAGACCCTATAAAACTCCAGACTCTGGAACCATGTATACCATTTCAGTATTAAGTCTCACCTAAACTTTCATTGAAGTAAAATCTCTCTTTACGCTCGCTTCTGTTGATGCAATCACAGAAACGTTCTCCTTTTTACTGTTGCTGCCTTTGGAGATACCTGAACACTACATGCCTCCTCAGTCCCTCTCTGTCACTTCAATCCTGCAGATATGGCCTAGATTTCTTGTGCTGAGAGAGGAAGTTGAAATTGATTGTACTAATGTGCATTTTTAACTCACAGGTATGCTCACAAAGTCATTAGGATTGCTCTGTATCAATAAATTTGTACGTCTTTTCAACAGTCGCTGATCTGTCCACAAAGTCTTATCAGAAAATGTTTTCCGTATCTATTTCTAGGTTATTAATAAAAATACTAAAAAAGATGCTACTGTTATCTTCATCGTAACACTTGGTCTCATCAGTCTGTAAACAGCGCCCAATAATTTCTGTATTTTAATTATCAAATCATACACCCATCTACAGAAATCTGTTTTATCCTTGGTCAGGATACCCTCTGAGGACACAAACCAAGCCCTGCAGGACACGGTACATGTATTTCCCCCTTAGTATGTAAACAAACCCAGAGAGCCCAAGTGCAGTCATCTTCCTGGGAAGCCCTGCGTGCTGACGGCCGGGGGGACGGGCTGTTTGCAGGAGACACCGATCCTCCTGCTAATACTAAGAAACTTTCAGGCGCCTGCTTCATTTGCCTGGCTCACAGGCTCAAGGCCAAATTAATCACCGGATTTCCACCAGGAAATACTTTTTTTCTTCCTGTGACAGGCTTGAAGAAGCCGCTGAGCTTTTTCTCCCCCTTTCCTCTCCTGTTGTAGGACCAGATATCGAAACTTACTCTCTTCTAAATTGTTTGGTACTGGGTTTTGCATGGTTCTAGGCACCACTCAAGTGGCCAGACGGCACTGTGTTTGACATGGCCAAGAACAGAGGCCTGAGCAGGGGCATCCCTCGGGGGCAAGCAGCCTCAAACACCCTGCGGCCTCCTACGGCAGCGGGCGGTCAGAGCTGCAATCTGCCCGCAGTGACCGGAGGGCTGCGCCTCGCCCGAGGGAGGAAGATGTCGGTGCCGTTAGCAGCTGATGGCTGGAGCCTGCCGGGGGGGGCGGCCGCGGCGGGACA